ACTGTCATATACATGTGTATGATACTACGACTTTGACGTTTTCTAAGCTTGAGTAGGACTACTGTTAAATGCAACTGATTTGGCAGTGACTTCACGTATTACTTTTAATAATTAATAATGACTAAAGTGACGCGTTAAGTGTATTAATTAAGAAGCTGTACAAAACATTAATTACTAATTCGTAAATTGACTGGTGTTCTAACATTACGGCACCGTGACGTTCATTATAAGGAACTACGCACTATGCAGGCTTGTTGCAAAACGTTTGTTAAGAACTCATTGCTTCTCTCTTAAATAACCATTGCCACTATACATACCAAACAAATAAAAAAAAAAGAAGGCAGTGAGAAATTGCACAAAAATAAGTCAATCTTCTTGAAGAGAGGCTTGAAAATTTTAAATAATTCATATATGGGAATTGATTAGATCTACAAAGAGAAGTTTAATATAGTGATGAGATAAGTAATGATTCTCTAAGTGCGTAAAATTGGTGCTAAAGGTCTAGCTAATGTTTTGTGTGGTGCAAATTATTGTGGTGATGTGGCCTTGATCGTGGTTGTCTAACTTGTGCGTTGCGTGATCGTAATCGACTGTGTGTAGTGGTCGAACTCTCTCTTTCCCTGAAAAGAATTTTAGTGATTAGGATGCTTGAGGATGTTCGGATGCACCGACAATGAGATTAGTACCTATATTCCAATTATCGCCAAATCTGTTAGTCTGTCAAAAGCATGAAGATTTATTTATTGTATTGTTTAGAAAAAGATTTTGTCTTGGAAAAATACATGAAGGATTTATTCGCATAAAATTCATATTCAAGAATGTATAATTATAATATCATAATCTAATCTAAATAATAAGTATAATTTTCAATAATTTATTTTGAAATTAATAATTTTACAGAGAAAAACGTGTTCTATAAACATTTTTTTAATTGAATCGTCTTTTGTATGTGAACTATATGCATATAATTACTTGCAAAAATTCAAAATATAATAAGTGAAATAAATAGGATATAATCATTGTAATAATATATTCGGTCCTGTGCACTTACGACATCGACTAAGAGCAGCTAATTAAGAAATAATGCATGCACATGCGTTTGATTGAGCGAGTGTACTCACCGTCTGAGAGCTTTCGGAGTATCGTGCGCGATAAAAGCTCTGTCATCAAGGAAAGCTGGATCGTAGACGGTTATCGAATGCTCGCATCGTGATCCTGTCTTTCCGGCTGGGCAGTAACAATCGAAGCCAATTTCCTTGTTGACACATTTGCCTTCTCCACATACACCTAACGTGATTCGATTTATTATTGCATTGGCCCTAAGTTTTACTGTGCTTGAAATTTTTAATTATAGGGATAGCAAAAAATTAGATCTTTCTATTTTTAACAATCGATTGATCTTCATAGATATGCATTGAGTACAGGCGATAAGATTAATAAAATTATCATCATAATTATTAGTCAAATAAAAAAATATTCAAATTAATAATGTATTAATTATTATTGATCAATAAAATAGAATTTAATAAGATAACAAAATAAATAATTTGTAATAACTTAAGATTAATAAGTTATATTAGCATTCGTACCTGGATAACAGGATTGTCCGACGTAATCGCAGTATTTACCACTGAAACCGGCGCGGCACAGACACATATAACCGTTCTTCATAGCTGCTTCCTGGCATACACCGCCATTATTGCAGGGATTTTCGGCACAAGTCTCGCAATTCGTGATTCCCACGCTATCGGTCTGATCGCCAATTAGATCGACTTGTTTCTCTCCGAGAACTAGTCGGCTGATGCAACCGACGAAGCCTGTGTTCGCCTCGACTTCCTTGTTGATATTGTTGTAGCTAGGAACTCCACCGATGTAAAGTGGCTCTTTAAGATCCAAACCTTGTCGTCTGCCCACCGCGACTACTTTGTAAGGTCCCTCGCCGTCTACTAGCATCGCTCCCTCCTTTCGATTGCGCTGAATCTTGATGGTGTGCCATTCGCTTAGAGTAATAGGTTTATCTGCGTGAATCACAGCTGGTCCAGAACCGAGATTGAATCTATCAAGATATTTAGTGTGTTAATAGAAAGTGTCACACAGTAGTCGCGTATCTTTTTACTAGCAAATTTTCGTCGAAGTTGAAGATGACTTCTCAGCTATTGTTTAATAAAAAATCAACGCTGATCGCAACCTTTTAATTTTTAATTTTCAGTAACAGGCAACTTGGTAAACTTATTTTTTTATTAAATAATTTTAATATAATAATTGAGAGAAAATTTTGTTCAAAGGTGAAGTCAAGTCCAAGCTCGTCGGAAATTTTAACAAGTGAAATGAAGTACGTCACGCCCGACGCATCATTTTTGAGCGCGAGATTTTTTATTTACTTGAATTGTGGATATCCATTAACTAGAGATAGAACAATAAAGTCGCCGTTGCCGTGACCAGATTCATCGTTGTATAATAAGATTCCGTCGTAGCTTTCTGATTTGAAAGAGATTTCGATATTGAACTTGAGATAGGAATCGGGTAAAGGTGGGAAGGCGATGTAGCTTTCGGGTGCCTGACTAAAATTAGGCACAACTCCTGTTACGACTAGCACTGTAGGTACTTCGACACGCAATTCGTCATTATTTCCAACGCAAATATATGTTCCAGCATCCTCAGCCTTTACGTTAGTCAACTTTAGTTTGTTCTGCAAAAAGAAACATTTTTATCTGTTTATATCGAACATTATGCTACAGCATTTCTCAGGACATAGTTTTAGTATCAATGTAAATTTTTTCTGAAAAAGACTTGTATGCATTTTATATATGTACCTCCACAATCTGGGAATCACGTGGCAGAAGCCCATCAAGTTTGCTCCATTGGAATTGTATCGGTGGATCGAGATCGATACGACAATCCATTTCCAGGCTCGAGCCATACGGCGCGAATTTGGTTTCAATTGCTGGTTCATCGAGGATTCCGCCTGGAGATAATAATTTTCTATGAAATCTTCTATTCACATAATTTATTTTTGCGCTGAAATTCGATTTTGTACTTACGTAGAGAATACGTGATTTGAGTAAGCATTGGCAAAAAATAGATATTTGTGTATTAATAGAGATATGTATGTGATAAAAATATTTGCACACAATATTTGTACTTGTAGATATATGTGTATATTTGTTATATATTTTCACTAATAATTACCATGAACGATTAGATTGAAGTCCTTTTCGAGTGTACCCTCGGGTGCGTCTACTGTACATCTGTAAGGTCCGCTATCGCCGACAGATACTTTAGCCAGTCTCAGGACATTGCCGTATTCTTGTGCGTTTGGTGGCAAGCTCACATGGTTCGGTCTTGACCAGTGATAACGTGGATTACGCGTTCCAGTGTATGTGCAATGTATATCAACCGTATCGCCGATGTTTATGGGATCTTGAGACACTTCGACGGTTACTGAAGGCAAGGCAGTTGCTAGAATCGAATTATATACGTTGGTTATTCGCGTTATAATTGTTTGTAAAGTTAAGAAAATTTGTGCCTACTACTCGCGGAATATATTCTATTATCGCACTAAAAAAAAATACTACAACTTCGATCGACAACTGCACGCTCCGTTTGTTTGATGTCTTATTTTATATTTATATATATATAAATTTTTTATATCATGTTTAAAATTCTAACAATTTAATAAAAAAAATAGTAAATAAAAAGTTTAAGACTGCCGAGATTTTATGTAAAGTTATTTCAATAAGAAATAACATTACACTTGCAAAAGAATATTATAAAGAACTATCTGAAATAATATTCAATAAAAAATAATGGCGCGAAATTGCGAAGATATTAACAATGTTTATATATACATTACTCTATAAAAAATAGAGAACACTTTTCAGACACACAAAATTGAGCAATTTTCGAACCACTAAAATTCGGCAAAAAATCATCGTAGACAAAAAATTAAAAAAAGTATTCTAAAGTTTGAAATTTGTACTTTTACGTGCTGTAGGTCGTTTTTTTAATTCTTTGTCTGTAATAATTTTTTTACCAAATTTCAGTGGTTTGAAAATTACTCGATTTTGTACGTCTGAAAAGTGTTTTTTATTTTTTGTGGAGTAATGTATAAAATCTAAAGAATATAGATATACATTTATACATAAATAATTGATGTTAACAAGAATAGGATACAATGACATGCACTTATATTGCGCAATAATTTACATAATTTATAAAAGGAAAAAATCAGAAATAACTCTTGTGTAATATCTTAAAATTTCATTCATTATTCGATTCAAGCCATAGGTTGGTTCAAATCCGTATCCTTTCCTTGTAGATTCGTACAGTAAGCAAGAATATATAAAGGACAGTTCACTACAAGTAGAAGAACTACAGGACATCACACGACACACATATATCTCAAACAAACCGCGTCGTCTCTGTTGATATTGGCGAAAGTGCGCGATGCGGCAGAAGCGTTCGTCAGTACCGTCGTTGCACTGAACATAGCCGTCGCAAAAGTATTCCATCGGAATGCATTGTAGACTTCTGCATTCATACTCCCAATGCCTGCACTGCGATTGGTACACTGGCATGCAATCCGCAAGCAAATTAACTACTAAATAATAACGCGAGCTTTGTAAAAAGAACCTAAACTTGTAGAGACGTTCATGGAACCACGTTTGCTATGTAATTATACTATTAATAGTCCAAACGATACAAAAGCTTAAAAAATATTGGAAAGATTGTAAGACGACTTTCGAACAATCTTTGCAACGTCTTTTGCATTTGTATGTTTGGAAATAATACGCGCTTGTTAGTGATATGAGTGATGCGTTGGATTAGTATATAAATAAAATAGGAAATTTAATATATAATTCATTTCTGTAGATATATGCATATTATCAACATTTATTTAAATTTTCAAGAAATAAGCAAATTTTATTGTATTATTTTTTTTTAATAAAGCAAACGTGGAATTAACGATTTTACGGCCAATCATATTCCAAATGAGAAATGAAATTTTCAAACCGTTCTACTTAAACTGTAGTGTTTTGAAATCACGCAAGAATAGCAAAGTATTTTTGTGAAAAAAAGCAGTTTATATTTAACCCTTTCAGGATTCTTTTGTATTCAAAATAATAACTTTTTTTAATTATAAACTATAATATCCTGGAAGGATTAAAGGCAAAATTAAGATTTCGTAAGAGGCAAAACATCGTTTAGCGTAATTATATTGCAGTCTTCAGTAAATGCTGGCAGGTTCTGGTGAAAGCAAAAATCTATGAAATGATGCTGAAACGATAGAATTTGTTGAAAACCTAACGTAACTTACGAGAAACGTTGAGATTAATATAATCGCTGGATACCCCGCGGCTGGTTTGGGTCTGACAGATGTATCTTCCGCTGTCTTCCGGTCTCACATGCGTCAGTTCTAAATAATCTCCTACTATTCGCGCGTTGGCCGGCAAGGCTTGTCCGTCTCGGCTCCAATGGACAATCGCTCGTTCGCGTGCTATGCAACGTAATGTTACAGAATTGCCGGCATGCGTCACCACATCTCTTTGTTCGGCTCGAATTCTTGTATCGTCGTGTTCTATAAATAACGAGCAATATTATAGTTTGCTTTCTTTCAAATAAATACATAGTGATTCACTTATATTTTAGCAAATATTACAAAATTATTGCATTTTATTACGCTCAAGTTTTCTACGCTTTATATTTTTTCAATTGGAATACATTTTTCAAAACTGCAATTTTTAAATATATTTTTTTTAAATACTGGATCTTTTACATTCAAATTTAAATGTAAAAAAAATAGAAATATTTGTACATTGAGGATTTTAATAATTTAACTGGCAACTAACCGTTAACTAAAACTTCCGCCACTGCTTCCGCTGTTCCTGCTCCGTTCGTTGCCTTGCACACGTATTTGCCAGCGTCCGAATATGTAATACCGTGGAATTGCAAGACTCCGCCGCTGTCCGATACCGAATATGGTAGCGGGCGTCCTATAGCTTCCCATTTGATATGCAGGGGTTCATCTCCTGTGGCAGTACAAACTATGGATGGATTTTCTCCCGGGCCAACTGTCTGACGTGTGGGATTTAATTCGATTCGTGGTGGAGCTGGAAGAAATCAAACGAAACAATTGAGTCCCGAATGCGTCCTTTGTGGTAAAATAGAAAATTAAAAACTGAGACACACTTTTTCTCACAATTTGCGCTAAAATTAAATCTCCAAATTTATTTATTATAAAATTTCAAAGTTTTTTAAATTTATATGTATATATTCATCTGATGCATTTGTTACTTACAAATAACTTCGAGATGAGATTTCGTTCGGAAGAGCACATTGCCAGAGGTATCCAAGCCCAAACAAATGTATTCTCCGGCCGCGCTTCTATCGACGACCGGAACGCTCAATACTCCATTGTGCACCGTGCTACCTTCTGGTAAAGGACGATGATCGCTTCTCTTCCAGTCCAAATAGATATGGTCTCCGTCGGGCCCATTGACCTGACAGCGCATTTCCACCTTGCCGCCATTCGGAATTCTTAAGTAGTCTTCCGGAATCAATACTCCTGGTAGATTCGGATCTCTCTGTAAATTTCGTTTCATTAGAAATATGTCATCAACTGACACGATAGAATACGTATAGAATACGCACAGGATCGGTCGGAAATTGTCCATCGTCGCACGGAATGTCGCCCCTCTCGCCGGTGCAAGGTACATCGTCATCGTCCTCGATGCGTATCTGAATACGCTCTTCGACTATTCCTACGGCGTTCGTGGCCTGGCAGGTGTAAGATCCTTCGTCGTCAGGTGAAACGGAATATATTTCATACACGGCGCTCAACGGGGTGACTGCTACTTTACTGTGTTCGCTGTAAAGTATTTAAATGTGTAAGAATCAATTACAAGAGTCAATTCACGAGACGTACGACGACTCTAATGTGTTCACAGGCCTATAATATCATACGACAATACTCACTGTATAGTTTTTCCGTTCACGTGTTTGCTCCAAGCTACGTTGGGCTGCGGATGACCGTTCGCGCTGCACATCAGACGAACCCGGCTGCCGCGTTTCACATGTAAAATACCGTGTCCCGGCGTGATGGTGATTCTAGGCATAGATTGCACCTCGATGTGCGCGATGACCGATGTCGAACCGACTTCGTTCGACGCGGAGCAGATGTACGCGCCACCGTCGTTCGTCGTGATGTTCGACAGTCTGAGAAGTCCGCCAGGAAGCTGTTCGATGTTGGGAGTGAACGGCCGACCGTCCTGGCGAGACCAGTGTAATTCAGGCACCGGGAAGCCGGCTTTCGCGCGACACTGAAGGTCGGCGGAGCCACCGAGGGTCACTGCTTGCACATCTTGAGGATACAGTTCCAAGATCGGAGCTTCGCGAGCTATGATAAAAAAATAATTCACTTTTGCATTGTTCAAGGATAATAAAAGAATAAAATATAGACAAGAAAGGCCGTGAATCTGCATTATGCAGATTTACATTTTTTTTGGCAATATATGGCTGATTTTTCAGACAAATTTGACAGTTTTTAATTTTATCATACATTTATTTTTTTTATTTAACATATTAAAAATTTAGAAGCGAGTCGTTCGTTTTTCTTAAAGATCAAGATGCTACTATAAACTCACGTTCAACTTCGATGATGGCACTGGCTTCGTAACTACCCGCGGGACTGCTGACTCGGCAGATGTACACTCCACGATCGGAAACTTGAACGTTAATGATTTTCAATTTATCT